GTTTGAATAAATTGAAAATCAATACATATTTAAACAAATGGTTAGAAAAGGGAAAAATATATTCATTTTATTGACCATTTCTCAGCTCTAATATAATATAATTATGATTTTAATAAATATTACAATTTATTTAACATTCATTTTCTGCACATTTTTCTGTCATCAAAACAGATATAATTGGAAACTCTTTTTTGTTTTGTTTTGTATCCAAAACGCAACGATTAATGAGACAAATAAATCAATACAAATAAATCTGTTGAAGAAATTACACAAAAACTGATTGATTGGATAGGAATACAAAGGAAAACAATTGATGTTGTAATGCATTTCAGTTGTAATGTATGTTTCGGTGGAAACAATACAGAGATTTTAAGACATAATAATAATAATAAAATATTTATAAAACTAGAGTTTTCAATGGATTTGATCGCTATTATAGCCGTTACTATGCGTGGAATCGAGAGAGTTGTTAACGATTTGTTGTTGAGGTTTATGTTTATTAAACTTGATTTCAAACACTTCTTGAATCGCTTGTCGAAAGCATTGGAAGTTATAGTCAATGAGTCCCTGTTTGTCGAAATTGTCTTCCCTTAAGATACAGACCAGCGCTAAGAACTTATTCACTTCTCGCAGATATAAAACGGTTCCGGAATTGAGTTTTATGGTCGACGAAGAGCTGCCATCGAATGTACTGTTCTCTCCGTCCTCTTTGACGGTATAGTTAAAGTCACTATAAGTGGCAAAGAGTTGAACGTTTAGTGCAATCAATTAGTGGTAATAAAGACACCATTACTGACCCGTATATGCATGAAATATCGATCACGACGTCAATCATATCGCAACACAACTCGTATGACTGCATGTCTACCGGCGAGTAATCGGTGGCGATATATATCTTCGACACGACATCGAATAGAAACGCCTTTTCTATTCCAGAGTTCTGTTCATTAAATGGTTCCGTAAAACCAAATGTTAGATTATTTTCAACACAAAACAAATGTGTTTATCAAATCAAATACCGTAATGAATATATTGAGTAGATTTTCCAGTGTTGGCAACTGTGGGATCAACTTCTGGACCACTTTGGAAAACGCTTCGAATATCGAGTGATCGTAAATGGATGTCAAAT